ATATGTCCATGAATGTTTATCACAACACTCTGTGCCTCCCAAACGCAGAAACAAGCAGAATGTTTACTAACGAGGGCCGGGCTGAATACACTCCTGTGCCTCCTCTCGATGGAAAAATACACACACGAGACAGAAGGAGCCAGGGCTCCGGGCTTCGGCTGGAAGGATGAACCATCACAGAGCAAAATTTGAAAAGCAGATTGCAAAGTAACGTGTGCGGTGCTGTGTGTTCTGCACGTGCAGAGTCTGGCTGTTTATCTGACGCACAGGTGAGACGGGTGTGCCCGGAGCAGGAGGCGGCAGGCCAGCCCGCCGTCGCCTCGGGGGACACGGAGCCTGCTGGTGGCCCGGGCCCGCGTCCGTCCGTCCCCTCTGGCCCACAGGTGCCTGATGCCGCTGGGGTCTGAAGGAACACTGTGCGACTTCACGGCAGTCACCCCAGAGTCAGATGCGGAGGCTGCTTTCAGGGCCTGACGGCGGCTGGCAGCTCCCCCAGCGTCCTCGAGGCAGGACTGTGTCTGCAGAGCGGAGTGGAGGAGGAGTGCTGGGCCTCCCCCTGGCCTCCTCCCAGGCCTGTGGCCGGTCGGCTGCAAACCTTGCCTCTCTGAACCTTTGCTTCTTCATCTACAGGTTGGGCTAATATCTCCCCACCGCAGGCCAGGCCTGTGCGGGGGCAGAGCCACGACCCAGGGCTGTTCTCCGGAGGACATCCATGAGCTGTTCTCCATGGACCATGCCTGGGCACCTGCTCCATACTGGCCCCGAGTCAAGCACCGGTTCCCCCTCCCGGGCCCCCAGACCTGGAGGATGGGGGACCAACTTCTGACTCTGTAATGCACAGATATCACAGCTGCCCAGGCCATCACCACGCTGAGCCAGAGGAAGAGGCTGACCCGAGGAGGGCCCAGAAGGATCCAGATCTGGGAGGGGCCTGAGGGAGAGAGCCGGGGACACACAGGGGTCAAGGCACACTGCCAGCTCTTCAGAGTCGGAGAGTCACAGATGGAAGCCTCTGGAAGGAACGTCCCGGTCAGGCCTCGCCACCTCCTCTGGCCTGGGGGAACACGGTTGGGGGGGCTGGTGGCGGGGAGCCGGACACACAGCTGGAGGGGAAGGCCTCCCACCAGGATTCTGGATTTACAGATTCCTTTTTGCTTTGTATATGTCTCATTGTATTGCAGCTTATGGCTTTCCTGTATTCTTTGTGAGCTTTTCTATTTGCTAATTAGAAATACCCTCCTTTGTCCCTCTTAAATATTTTGCCCTGAATTTTATTTTCCATGATATAAATACTGCATTACTTAAAAGTTTTTGGTATTTTTGATAGGCTTTTTTTTTTCAGCCTTTTTTGTTATTTGTTCTAATTCCATTTGAAAGTCCTAATCTTTTAACACATTTACTTAACCCGTTGACATTTATTGTGATTTGTGATAGAATAAAGTCTTTCATTCTATTTTCTATTTTATTTGTTTTCCCCTTTCTTACCTTATTTTACAGAAAAAAGCTTTTATTCCATTTTTTCCTTAGCTGGCTTTGAAATATTTACATTCTATTTTCAATCTTCTCTTGATTGCCTGTAGACTTAAACTTACCATTTTCTGGCAGTGATCTGGGCTTAGATGCCCTCAGAACAAGGCAAGGCTTGCAGCATAATTTTATTTCTCTCCATGTCTCACATCTCCCCCAAGCCTCCCCTGTTGACCCCACAGGGAATTTTAGCTTCAGAGTGTTAACATTTTTACAGGTGATACCTATTGATTTGAACTTCACAATGTGCTGCCTTTTTTTTCTTGCATCTTCATCCTCCCCTGTGAAACGTGAACAGCAGCCGCTGACCCACAGCTTCACTGTGAGGATCAAGTTAGGCCTTCTGGGTGCAGCTCTGAGCAGGATTCTAACAGTAAAACAATAACCATCGCGGCAGCACCTGCCTTCCCTTTCTTTCTGCTGAAACACCTCTCCAGCAGCTCTTTCAGAACAGTGGGTGATGGGAGCCAAATGTCTTTCTTCCACATAAACAATGGGCTATCCAGGCATTTCCTCCCAGAACAGGGAAGACTTTTCTATCTTGTCACTTTCAACGTGGAGAAGACAGGTGTCAATGTCATCCCTGCTCTTTTTCAGTAACATCCCCTGCCTCCTCCTCCTCACCCAACTTGGAAGCCTTTAGGATTTTCTCTGTATCATCACTTTGCACTTTAATGTGTCCAGAAGCAAATTTGGTGTGCCTGGGGTGGGGGGAGTTGTTTACACCGATCCTGCTCAGCACCTCTTGGTCTCTTCCAGTGAGCTTAGTTTACCCCCCAGTTGTCTAGAACCCCAGAAGATGGGTGCCGGGGCGTTCAGACTTGCAGGCCCATCTCAGCTCGGCTTGTGTCCTGACTGTCCCTTCGCCTCCATTGTGGTAGAACCTTCAGCTCCCCGTCCCAGCCCACTGCCTCCCCCGTGGCATCTCCAGGCTTCATGCAGCCCAGCCACAGACACATGTTGGCTTGTTCCTAATGACTATTTAAATCCCAGGCCTCTCGGTTTCTCCGACACACCCTCTGTCTCCCTTCTCAGGACTCCAATCCTGCGTTTCAGATCCTCTCTGCTGGCTCCACTGACTCTGCTGCCTTTTGTTCTCACAAAGGCGCACATCCCTTGGAAACTGGGTGATATGTGGCAGTGAGCTCACCTTAGCTGTGGCTTCTCCCCATGAGGCCCCTGATGTTTTGCCTGCCACACCCTTGGGGGTGACAAGGCCCTCTTGTAATGAAACCTCAGTCTCCTATGCACACTCTTCACAAATAAGCCTTGGCCTTGGCCTGCTGAGTCCAGTTGATCAAGAATCCCCCACCCCTGGGACTTCCCTGGTGGTCCAGTGGCTAAGACTTCGCACTCCCGATGCAGGGGGCCCAGGTCCCACCCCTGGTCAGGGAACTAGACCCCACACGCCAGAACTAAGACCCGGCACAGCCAGACTCAATGGGCATGAATCTGAGCACCCTCTGGGAGATGGTGAGGGACAGGGAAGCCTGGCAGGCTACAGTCCACGGCATTGCAAAGAGTTGGACACGCATAATGACTAAACAACAGCCAAGTAAACAAAAAGAATCCCCAACTCCTGACACCCAGCCGAGCTCCACCTCTCCCAACTGGGATACGTCCCATGTCCCTCTGGGTAACTTTCCATCCATCCGCTCACCCTGCCCACCAGTCCCTGTGTTTTCAGAGTTGAGCCCAGTCTCTCTCTCCTATTGCAATAGTCTTGAATAAAGTCTTCCTTGCCATATCTAAACGTGTTCGGGGTAATTTTTTTCTCTTTTACAAAAGGAAGGCTAAAGGCTGAGCCTTACTTCAATCTCCAGTAAGAGTGGAAGGGCAGATCATGCCCCGTTGAGGTGATTGGGTTCAGACCAGGCGTGAGTGCTGCATACCCTCCCAGAGCCACCAGATAGCAGGCATGTCCTGTCTCTTTGAACCAAGACCCCACTGTCACTGATCCTAGTTTAGGCAGACCCGTGATCCCTGAGCTTGACCCCAGGTTGGGGGGCGATGGGCAGAGTACAAGAGAAGCCAATCACTGCCCGGTGAGAAAGCCTCATTACACACAAGCATCCGTGCTACAAGAGATCGAGGAAACGGCTTGCATGGGGGGTGGGGGGGAGCCTTTGTGGAACCGAGGGCCCTGTCCATGCCCTGAGCAAAGCTTGTTTGATGTCTAGGTTGTCCCACACCCAGGGACGGCTTTGTCTGCCACCCACAGAGCAGATGTCCCCGCTCACTATTGTGAAAAGGCTGCGGCCACAGACAGAACATGGAAACAGTCTCCAGTTGCAGAACATCTGGGGGTTGGGGGGATGAGGCGGCGGCGGCGCAGGAGAGGGTAAAGAGACCACTGCAGGGAGCACATGTTTGGAGAACTTCCGCCCTTCATTTGGCGCTCCCTTTTTTAAAAGAAAATGTTTATAGCCCAGGAAACCAAGAGAAGAACCAAACATAAAAAACTGCCGTGCCCGACGATCAAAGGCCAATTGCAGTGCATCAAATTTGTGCACAGAGGCAAAGAAATTGTTCCTGAAAAAAAAAGTGCAAATTGCTAGTTCGCTGCATGTAAATGAACCGTTAATTGCTTTTTGCAAACAATATTTATGCAAATGGTCTCCCACTCTGCAAGGCTGTGCAGATAATGCCCTCATATCCCCATTTGTCACCAGCCCAGCCGGACCCCCACCACACACTCTATCTTCTTCCTACGCAGTCCTGGGACCCTCTCTGCCGCCTCCTTCCTCCTTCCTCCTCAGCACCTCTGCTCCGATGTCCTCCTCCCTGAATCCTGCCTCCTTCCTTCCATACATGCAGGTCCTGCTCTCACACCTCCTATCCCCAAGTGAAAGTCGAGGAGACTTTCGCCCTGCAAGTATGGAAGGAAGTCACGTGGCAAAGGCAGTAAGGAGTGCAACACGGAGACTCCAGGTCCCCTTAGAAAGGCCGAACCAAACTTTTGCTCGCCTCTCACCCTGCACTCAGCACTGCCAACATCTCTCCATCAGCAAAATCAACAGGAAATCTAGGAAACTGCGTAAGTCATGCAGACACGTCACACTACTCCCAGTACGTAAAGACCTTCTGAAAACCAATAAGAGAAGGCCCACAAGTCAGCAGAAAGAAATTTTCAAACAAGATGAATCATTAGAAAATAAAACCCACTGAGTCTTAAACACATGAACGGGATCTTTAAATCGCTCGCATAAGAAATGTGCTCTGAAGCTCCCCCAACAGGATTTGAGGACCAAAGAGGATGGAAGCAGCCTGGGTCTACATCCCCCGAAGAGCTGCCAGAAACAACGAAGAACAAGAAGAAACACAACCACACGGAGACCGCGCCCTCAGCACGACTAGAAGACCAGACAGCCCCAGCTTCAAAACAACTGCAAGTGCAGGAAGAAAAGGAGAAAGAGCAAGAGACGCCAGCAGGCAGTCTTCCCCTGCTCAGCAGCGAGTGAGAGCCGCCCAGGATGACCGGGGAGCGGGGTGAGCAGTCGGCGCAGAACCAGAACCGCCGGAAACAGGGCAGCCCGGCGGCCCCACGCGCGTGCACAGCGGCACGCATCCTACACATCAGGGCGCCGACTGCGGAGACACCGCGTAAAGTGGGATCTTTGAGAAGCAATGCGTCAGCAGAAGCAAAACAGAAGGAAGGCCTGCCCTGTAGGAGTCACGTGCCAAAGGCAGAAAGGAGCACAACGCGGAGCTTCCAGGTCCCCTAAGAAAGGCTGAGCCGAAGTTCAGAGGACACACCGCCTGTCCCACTCCCACCAACACCAGAAATAAGTCTATTAAGGAACCCGGACTTTGCTCTTTGCTGCACAGATGGAAGAGGGGCTAGAACCAGCAATCCTGTCAACAGTCCCCCTCCAAATCCACAAAATGAACAGGTCAAAATTACATCTATTCTGACGTGAAAGTGAAGTCGCTCAGTCATGTCCGACTCTTTGTGACCCCATGGACTGTAGCCTGCCAGGCTCCTCTGTCCATGGGATTCTCTGGTCAAGGATACTGAAGTGGGTAGCCATTTCCTTCTCCAGCAGATCTTCCAGACCCAGGGATCGAACACAGGTCTCCTGCATTGCAGGCAGATTCTTTACCATCTGAGCCACCTTACTACAAAAATCAGACCATAAATACTGACACAATTTGGCTAATTAAAAAAAAAAAGAAAAACTTCTTAGGAAAAAACATGAAGCATTAAAATACTGTGAGGCAACGCTCCAAACTGAATCGCATGCATGTCTAGTCGCTCAGTTGTGTCCAACTCTTTGCAACCCCATGGACTGTAGCCCGCCAGGCTCCTCTGTCCATGGGGATTCTCCAGGCAAGAATACTGGAGTGGGTTGCCGTTTCCTCCTCCAGGGGATCTTTCCAACCCAGAGATCAAACCCCAGTCCTTACTTCTCCTGTATTGGCAGGCAGGTTCTTTACTATGAGAGCCACCAATATACTCAAAAAAGCATTTGGGGATATGGAAACCATCTTGAGTCAGAAATTCAAAGTCTAAAAACACAAATGGACAAAAGTGGGAAGAAGTGGAAAGGTTGGTGGAGATCAGACGAGAAAAGGAGGCCAGGGAGAAAAAGGCGAGTGAGAAACACCAGCAAAGAAGGAATTCCAAGGCGTAAGTGCAGCCTCTAAGGAGGGAGACCGGCAGGAACAATATTCACAACCACAGCCCAAGAAAATGGTCCAGAAGTAGAGACCGGAGTCTGTAGGGTGAAAGTCCATTCCCGTGGATATCGCGGAGGACTGGCCTGCAATGATTGATCTGAGACACTTCCTGAGAAACGCCTACAGTTCCAAGAAGAACCCAAGACAACTCACAAGAGCAAAAGAACTTTGCTGGCATCAAAAATAACAGCAAAGCAGCAGTGGGGCAATATTCCCAAAACACCAGTGCAAGTCTGAACCCAAGAGTCTGCATCTGCAGAGACAACACCTCCTGTTTCTGCAGTGCTGTGGATTTCTGAGCCAGAAGTGCTGGTGACGTGGGCTGCAGGTCGCCTGGGGGGCAGACCAGCCTCGAAGTTTCAGACAGTGAGATACCCAGGAGAGAGGATCCCAGGTCTGTCTCCCTTTGCCAAGTCTTTAGATTTCAAAATGGGATAAAACTGAGAGCTATCCCATTACATCCCCAAGGTGGTAAATGAGGGACCATCACTTCTGTTCTCTGCATTACAAAGAGAAGCTTCTTCTCCCGGGCTCCTGGGGAGGTGAACGCCGGGCTGTGGAGGGAGTAATCTGTATAGTGGTTCATATGTGAGTTGCAAGATTCACAATTTTGGGTCCCTTTCCAATGGGCAAAGGTCCTTCTGCATGACAGGGTCCGTCCTACCCTCGCCTGCTGCCCCGGGCGGGGACTCGTCACAGGCAACAGATGTGGAGACGTTCTGCAAGTGAGCCCAAGGCCTTCCTCTAACCCAGAGATCTCATGCTTAGCCGTCCAGGATCCCGTGCTTACTTAAGCTCAAGATGAGATAGATAAGTTTAGATACAAAAATGTATCCATATCCAGTCAAGGCATCCTTCAAGTATCAAGGCCATAGCAAACGGTTTCAAACATATTAGAACTTAGGAAATCCTGAACCAGGAGCCCTTCTTGAGGAAACTTCCAGATGATTAACCTGATCCAACCCAAAGGGTGGCTCAGAAGACTTCAACTGGATCAGTGTGGTGGAGGCGAGGAGGGAGGAACACTAGCCCAGTCACATTACGTGTGTGTCACGATAAGGGCACGGCCACGCTTAGAAGCAGGCCTTCGCAGGAGGAGAGAACGGAAAAGAGAATGTGTCCGTCTGTGTTGCACAGACTGCAGGGGGCGGGAGTCGTCACCAGAAACTGACAAGCCAGCAGTGAGGATGTAAGTAAGAAAACAGGACACTACGGCACTTAGACGGGAGGAGCGCAGCGGTCACCATGACAACACAAACACAAAGCCACACAAAACAGCAGCAAAGTGAGCAAAGAACGCACACCAGACAGCAAGCGCTGTGATGGGCACATAATTATAAAAGACGGCAGCTGACACCAAGCACGCAAGTCACATTAATAAGCGTTAACAGGTTCGGTGCGTCCGTTAAAAGAAAAATATTCAACCTGGCTCACAAGCAACAGCCCGCTCAACACACTACAGGAGCGACCCACCTAAAAAGGTGTAACAGACGCAGAAGCTGCAAGGAAAGAGGTGGACATAGTGAACGTCAGACAGAAAGCATTAAACAGGACAGAGAAGGCCTTTAATGCAAGAAGACGCAATTCCAAACAAAACGGAACAGTCACGCAGGAAATGACACAGCAGCCAGCTGCCTGAGGGAAGATCTCAGGAATTCAAGGAGTCATAGAGACACAAGGAGAACTCGACTTCACCACATCCTCGCAGGGCCAGACGGACATGGGGACAAGGAAAGAAGGCGTGACTCTAACCAGGTGACACACCCAGGCGACTCCACCCACCCCCGGCCGCCTGGGAGTGAAGCTGGGCATCAGGGGCCACGTGGGGCAGCACTGAGGCTCTGACGACACCCGGTGTGGTGGGCAGGGGCGTGGCCGTGGCTCAGACACACAGCCGCACCCGGCTCTTCACCGGGGACCGGTAACTGCCCTCCTCACAGGTGCTCCGGTCAGGATGCCTGAGGGCCACACCTGCACAGGAGACAGAGGCGTCACATCCGGCCAACAGGGAAGGGCTTATGGACAGGCCTCACATGCACACACACACACACACACACACGCACGCACGCACACACACACAGAGACACACGCAGTCACAGGAGACAGAGGCTTCACATCCGGCCAACAGGGCAGGGCTTAGGGACAGGCTTCACATGCACATACACACGCACACACGCACACACACACAGAGACACACGCAGTCACAGGAGACAGAGGCTTCACATCCGGCCAACAGGGAAGGGCTTATGGACAGGCCTCACATGCACACACACACACACACACACACGCACGCACGCACACACACACACAGAGACACACACAGTCACAGGAGACAGAGGCTTCACATCTGGCCAACAGGGAAGGGCTATGGACAGGTCTCACATGCACACACACACACACATGCACACACACATACACACAGAGACACATGCAGTCACAGGAGACAGACAGCTTCACATCCACTCAACAGGGCAGGGCTATGGACAGATCTTACATCCACACACACACACACACACAAATGCACACACACAGAGACACACGCAGTCACAGGAGACAAATGGCTTCACGTCCACCCAACAGGGCAGGGCTGTGGACAGATCTTACATACACACACACACACGCACACACATACACACACACTCACATACATGCAGACCCACATGCACATGTGCACACGCAAACACATACACACGCACACACATACACATACCTGCACACACATGCATACACACAGACACTCACAGACACACAGACATACACACATAAACACATACATACACAAATACACATAAATGCACATACATACACACACACACACACACACACACACACACACACCCCGTAGGCCTAGGGAGAACCTTCCCAGGCACTCGTGGAACAGCCACAGAAATTGGTCCTACACCGGGTCATAAAACATCAGTAAGCTCCATAAAGTAGAGGTATTACAATAAAAAATCAGCTCGTAATATAAAACTGGAATTTAACAACAACATGAGGGGGGAAAGGCCCTTCCTCTTGGACATTTTCTTTTTGGAACCAAATAATTCTTAAATGAAAGTAGAAATACACATTGAAATTGCATACTTTATTTTAAAAACAACAATAGGGAAAATGCTACATATAGGGTTCCAGGGGATATATTTGAAGTGGTGATCAAGGGGGAAATTCATAACTCCAAACACTTTTATCAATAAATGTGAAAGATAGAAGGAACAGAATTCCCAGCTCAGACATCTAGGAAAAAAAGCCCCAGACTAAACCAAAAGAAAGCTCAAGGAACGAAATAATGCAGATAAAAGTTCAAATTAATGAGTCAGAGAACAGAAAAACACTGGCAGATTAATAAATCAATACCCTGATTTTTTTAAATTAACAAAATAGGCAAGCTACTAACTAACTTGAACATAAAAAAGGGAAAAGATCAAATACAAAATAAGAAATGACAAGAAGAAATTAACCATTGGAGCAAAAGAAACTAACCATTGGAGCAGAAGAAATGTTTAAAATCATGGGACCACTTTGTAGACACCCATGCAAATAAAATTTAAAACCCCAATGTTTCAGGTTAAATTGTGTCCCCGTCACAAAAAAAAACCACAGTTACTATTTTTGGTGTGAGACACCATCCTCAGTGCCTCAGAATGTGACCTGATTTGGAAGTGGAGTTGTTGCCAAGGGAATTAGTTAAGGTGCGGTCACCTTTACTCACCTTAACTCGTTGAAGTAGAGTGAGCCCCTTGTCCAATGTGACTGCTGTCCTCCTAATGTCCCCAGATGGGGAATCTGGGACTTCCCTGGTGGTCCAGTGGTTAAGAATCTGCCTTCTAATGCAGGGGATGCAGGTTTGATCCATGGCTGGGAAACTAAAATCCCACATGCCAAGGGGCAACTAAGCCTGCACACCACAGCTAGAGAGCCTTCAT